TCTTTCTTCCATATATATATATAATGTGAAAGAAAGAAACTAAAACAAAGAAATAACGTGACAATTCATTCCTGGAAGAAGTATTCTTCTTTGCATTTGTTGGAACCTTTTATTATTTTCAAAACTACAGAAAAATACAACAACTGTGCCACTTCTAAACTGATTGTTGCAGATTGCCTTTTACCCAATAGCACCATTGCATAATTATAATATCACATAGTATTGTAACAAGGTCATTTGTCAAATCAGAGAAACAGATTTAAAAAAAATGAAAATCAGCAAGAAGCTCTTCCTGAAAAAGATGCTTCTGGTTTATTTCCTTCTCACATACACTGAACTAGTGGTATTCATTAAGATAATAATTATGTTTCATAATAATCATTAGCATCAACATGTTTCCTCATTTCCAAAAATCTAGGACCAAATCCTCTGAGATGAGCTCTTTCAACTTTCACCAAAGCTAGTGGGAGTTAGGAATACTCTGTACTCCACAACTGTTCTCTCACAGGAGCGGACCTCCTCTTTTTAACAAAGTGATCCAGTTTTCACTTATCTAAAAGCATTTTCAATTTTTCTTAATTCCCCTGAAAAGGAATTCAGTTATTTAGGTTTAAAAATAAGAGTATTTCACAACTGTTTCTCTGGTAGGTAATTTTGATTTTTAAAAGTTAAAAAACCAAAAACTTACAATGTGAAGACTTTGTTCCATTCAGGGTTGAGATTCTTGTAGACTGTATGTGTCAGCAGTCTGTCATTGTTCAACTCAACTACACAAAATGGGTCACTTTTACCTATGAAGAGAAAATTTGGAACAAAACCCATGAGCTGGCAAAAGTAAATCAAGATTAGATTTATTTCCAAAAGATCCACCTGTGTGTCTGGTTCAAACAAGATTTCAGTCAGGGAAGTCTACTGGCCTGTCTTATATACAATATCAGACTAAATGATCACAATGGTCCCTTCTGGTTTTACAATCTATAATTGTTCTGTACTGAAAAGTCATAAAACTTCCAGCCTGACTGGGAATGCAAGGACAAAATCTACTACTTTTCTAATCACAAACTGCAAAAACCCTGCAAGCCTGTGAACATTCCCAGGATGAACTGAGAGGACTTGGTATGCTGTGCAGTCAATAGTTTGCCAGTAATAATTAGATCCTTATAACATTTTGCTGCATAGTAAACATATTACTCTTTATTATTTGTATTAACACAGTACCTAGAAGCCTTTTCATGGATAGGGATGCCAATGTGTTAAACTCTGCACAAAACAAAAACCAAAACAATGGTCCCTACTTCAAAAACCTACAATCCAAATATAAGATAACAGATCATGGTTGGATATGGCCAGATGGGAGTACACAAAGAATCAATGACACAATAAAGATTATATGGTAGGCAGTAGTGTCAGTGCATCAGCAGCCTGAGTGTTGTAATTTTTTTCCAAGTAGCCTGGTAAAGGAAAGGTTAAGTGACTTGGAGATGAACAACAAAATGGCTTTTCAAATGTTTACATCAACGAGTACACTGTCGTCTCTCATCAAGAAATAGCTTTTTGTCTTCTACCATACCATTGACCAAATCACCAGGGTCTTCTACCATACCATTGACCAAATCACCAGAATCAGCCAGAACTACCTTCTGGCAAAAAGAATGGAAGAAACCAGGCAACAAAGCTGCTGAATGGAGCCAGTGAGAAATTGCCCGCAGTGAGGAGTTAGCATCTGGCTCCCACTACAAATGGCATGCACAGCAGAGCCTGAACAGGTTGAGAGTGGGTCTCAACAGGTGCAATTTTCTCATGAAATTATGGAGACCCTCCACAACTGACCAATGTGTTTGTCAAGAGAAGCAAACCATGGATCATCTCCTGAGATGCCC